GTGCTTGGTTTGGCATCATCTCATGGATGCAAGATGGCTGCAGCCACTCCAGACCTTACATGGAAATGTCACAATATTCAGTGGCAGGAGACAGATCATTTCTTTCTATCTATCTTTATCAAGCATCTGAGGAATAATTTCTCTCAGACACTCCTTTCTCTTCCAAAGGTGTGCTCTCCTATCTAATTGGTCAAAATTCTATTGTAAGTCCATATTCTTGCTAATCAGTGGCAAGAAGAATGAGAACACCACAACTGATCTAAGTGGATAGTGACTACCCTTTGTGGCTGGAGCTGAGACCCATCTCCCCTGAAGTTCATGGCTGAGTGGTGGATATTTGCCGGAGATGGAGTAGGTGTAGGAGAACAATGGGAGATCAGATGGAAGGGGCAGATCAGACTCTATTGGGACAACCTAGGTTGCCAGTGTGAAGGACTTTGGGGAGAGAGAACACAGACTGAGAGAGCTGTTAGAAAACCACTTCCTAGTCTACATAAGGATGGTCAGACCCAATTTTTATTGAGGCCCTTTTCTGTGCCAGATAATATGCTAGGTGCTGTTGGATAAAGTAAGGATGAAAAATTGACTTTATGTACATTACAATTCAGCATATTAACTCAATGAGATTATGACTCCATTGCAGTGAGAGACATTAAAAATACTATTAATAGTGGCTAATAATTACTGAGAGCTTACTACAGCAGGGCATTGTTTGAAGCACTTTACTATATTAACTGGTTGAGTGCTCACAATAATCTTAGGAAATAGGTACTATTATCATTCCCATCTTATTTTTATTTATTTTATTTTATTTTTATAGCTTTGGGGGTGCAAATGGCATTGGGTTACATGGATGCTTTGTATAGAGGCGAGGAAGTCTGGGCTCTGTAAGTGCACCCCCACCCCAACTGTGCACATTGTACCTGACAGGTGACTTTTCATCCTTCTGTCCCTTATCCCCCCCACACTTCTGAGTCTCCAGTGTCCACTATACCATTCTCTGTGCCTTTGCAGATCCTTAGTTCAGCTCCCACTTATAAGCGAGAACACGTGTTGTTTGGTTTTCTGTTCTTGTGTTAGTTCACTCAGGATGATGTTCTCCAATTCCATCCAAGTTGCTGCAAAAGACATGATTTCATTCCTTTTTATGGCTGCTCAGTCCCATTTTAAAGGTGAACAGACTGAAGTGCAGAGAGCCCTGGCTCAAAGCGCCAGTTAATAGAGAAGGCAGGAATCGGGCCCAGGCAGTGGGGCTTTCCAGTCCATGATCCTAACTAGTCCACTGTGTTGCCCATGAAACACACACAGCAACAGCTAGAATGTTAGTAACATGAACAGTGGGTTCCAGCAGGACTAGACAAGAAAGTAGCTATGAGTATGCTCATATCTGGCAATTTCTGAGTGCTTACTGTCTTTTAGCAATTGTGTTAAAAGATATTTAAATGTTATCTCACTTGATTCTCTGTAAAATAAGTCCTTTCTTCCACTCGCGAGGAAACTGAGGCTTAGAGATATTGAGCCATTTACCAAAGGTCAGAATTATATTTGAACTTGAGTCTTTAAAACTTCAAAGCCTGTGGAATTAGCTAATTCTACTGTATTAATAGGAAAGTTATTTTCCAAATAGAAGACAGGAAATTCTGAAAAAGAGCACTGAAGAATGTAAGGTATTCTAATGTTTCTTTTTAATTGAAGAACTTTAAGAAAACCAAATTTTAGGTGTACTCTGGCTGATCTGAGTTGGCCTTCACATAGCCATGGTATACTGATTGGACATGCAACCTTAGGATACCTCAAATTGTTTTTCCCCTGGGAACCTAAATCCAGAATTCAGAAATCTTTTTCCAAACTTTTTTTTCATGGAAAAAGTCATGCATATCAAAATTTTATCATGCATTTACTAATGCAAGATAAAAGTAAAATACTTTTGTGTATATAATAGGCATCTTGTATTTATGAAGCTTTTTAGATGAATGCAAATAGTTTTAATTTGTGTAACCAGCAGCCAAACCGTTGCTGGCTATTCTCACAAACCAACATCTTCACTCCACACCGCCCCCACTCAACTGTGGTCTCCTTGGGGAGGGAGGCCAGCTGCCCTGCAGAGTTAGGGAGCAACAATTACCTAGAGGGTTTTTTTTTATTTTCTTTTCTGCTTCCAGGGAAATTCCCTCAAGCCCTTGTCCAGATGTTCATGTGGCACATGTGGTATTGGAGTCTTGACTTTTCAAATCTTCTTTTCTTTAGTAGAATGACTGGGTGGAGCAAAGGAAATTGTTAAGGGGTATTATGGTTTCTTTTTCTTCTAAGCTGAGTTGAATCCAGCCAATATCATCAGTGACCAAAGTCACTGTCAGTTGTGGGTGGCCCAAACCAGTGGGCTCCTTCTGCTCCCCGTGGACAGGTAACTTACATGTGAAAAACTAACACACCCCATCTGGAACTTATTGGCAGACTGAAAAGAGAATCCAAAAATGAAATCAGTAACAGAGATAGGACACACTGCTTTTTCTTGGAGCTGGTATCTCCTGGGTTAAGGCTTGTAGCATATGGGTAGAAAACTCAAGAAAGTTTTCCAGTGGTACAGGCTAATGAACATACTTTTCTGGAGCACAGTCTTCTACCAAAAATGGCAGGGGGAAGGGGGGAAGCCCAAACCAAACACACCCAAACCAACTAACTTCTCTGGCATGCCATGCAAAATAAAATTGCCTGTCTGTAGAAGACTTTTTCTGGCAAATAAATAAATAAATAACCCCCCCCCCGCCCCCTCATGAAGTTATTTAAATGTAAATTGTTACCAGTTCTAAGGAAAAAGGTAGGGTTAGCTGCTTGAAAGATAATTAGCATTCTAACAAAATCCAAAAACTAACACTATAATTAGTAAACACAGGTGGAACAACTTTTTGCTTCCTCTTCCTTAGATATATAGAGATTACCAGGGGAATAAGAATGACAGGATGGAAAAAAAATAAACATGTAAGGAAATAACTTTATAAATAGTCAGAATACAGTGTTGTTTTGCATCAGAATGACAAAAATGATGCATAACTCTTTAAATATTATTTTATTTTGCTATATTTTATATATGTATATAAAGTCATATTTCTCACAGTGTTAGGATTTTTATAACATTGCCCCTCAAAAGTACTTCAGATAACAATATACGACCCATTTCAAATACAAAACATAGGTGGTATTTTAACAACGTTATAGAAACAGTAAAGAATTTGGGTGAGTGAGGGAAATGGGAAGACGATATTTCAACAATACATTAATGTATCCCTGGAGAGGCTGAACAGGTCATGCATATGTGCACTTTTCTTTCTTGAGCTTTGAGCATAGAGTGGAGAGAGTGAGTGTAGGAGAAATTCATGAGCCCTGGCTTCAGACAGCCCTGGATTTAACTCCTGGCTCTGCTGCTTCCTAACTGTACAACTTTAGACAAATCAGTTAAACTTGTTTAATTTCCTCATCTACAAAATGAGAGTTGAGGATTAAGTAAGATAATGGTATCAAAATACACAGGGCATAGAAATGCTTTCCCAGTGTTATTTTATTTCCTCTCCCTTCTCTGTAGGTGTAGAAATCAGCGCCATCCATGTTATCAAATAAGTTTCTCAGAGACAAAGTCATTTTAATGGGTGGAATCTCATCTCTTCCACCTTGCACTCTTTTTTTCTTGTGTGTATATGGGTGTGTGTGTGTGTGTGTGTGTGTAAGAGAGAGAGAGAGAGAGTGAGAGAGAGAGAGAGAGAGAGAGAGAGAGAGAGAATAATATGATTACATGGCCCTCATGGAAAAGTTGATTCACTTTCAATGTTCCTTTTTTCTAGCCCAAGAGTAAAGCCTAAACTATTCACCTTCGGTAAAGTAACATTTTCTTAATTGCTAGAAGACATTCATAATTCAACCTCACAAGGCTTAATTTCTCTACCTGAAGGAGAAAAGAACACTGAGGCTTGTCTTGAGGTTATTTAGAGTTACTCAGGAATTGTGCTTTAATGTTGTGCCATCATGGACTCCTGAGTGTATATGGTTCACCAAAGTATGAATGAGCCTACTTGTTTGATATCTCTCATAGTGCCAGCCACACATCTGGGCATCCAGGAGGGATTTGGTAAATTCTGAATGAACAAATGAATGAATGAATGAATACTTTCAGAATACTTCCTTCACTTTTTGAAACTTATAGTACTTTTGATCAACAGCTCCCACTCCCAAAGATGTGAGACTCTTCTAAAGGGTTCCAAAGACGATCAACTATATTTTCTGCATATTCCACCGGTTAAAACTTTGCTACTCTTCACTTTTCCTAGTGTTTCCCTCAATTACACATTAAAAAAAAATACTATTGAACATGCTCTCTCCCACCTAAGGTTCTGCTATTCACCTCCTGACTCCAAGGTTATCTGCACCATTTTAGATCAGAGATCCCAGAAAGGCAAGGACATTTGTATTAAAATATCTACCATGCATAGATATATTAGGTACTAAATAAGTGCTTTTGATAATGACACAAATGCCAGCTTGGAGAAAGCTTTAGTGCCCTACCATTGTGATTGCATTTAAATCCGTTCAAAATTGGATTTAAATCCAGACCTCCCAAGAAGGGTCCCAGTAGCCTAGTCTGAGACAGAACGCATGGTATTCTTCAACCTCTTTTCCTTAAATATCTATCCAGCTCATTCTCTTTCATGTGTTTTTGAAGTAAAAAAAAAATCGTATTCTTTATGAAAACTTTTCCTAACTCAGGCATTTAATATTATTAATGAAGACTGAACAGGCTAGAGTTTAATTTTTTGAATGCTTTCAGCTTGAACCTTAGGAGTCCAGGAACCAGCGTCTGGCCCATAATAGCTTGAAGCCTGCCTATACTTTTCATGCGCATGATTATAAAATGAAAAACAAGGAAAGTGGCTTGTGATTTTATAGCAACCAAACATACGGTTTTTCCCTTCCCTTTGGGATGAAATTGCCTTCCTGTAGAAACTAAGGTTATGCCCCTACTTGTGAAGCCCAAGAAGGGACCCTTTGATGTGAAAGAGGATCCTGGTCAAGTAACGGATGCAGAAACCAGTGTGGGAATAGGAGGAGTCTCCAGAAACAGGAAAAGGCATTGTCCCAAGGAGGGGTCATGTCATCCTTCTCTGTCGTCATTCGGGTTGTCTGGTTTATTTCCTCCCCTAGGTTGGTGTGAATTGCAAGGAGAGTCCTTTGTGAATGCGGTCAAGAACAAGACTGCCCATTTTGTGAGGTGGTTAGGGCTGAACTTTCAGATTTCAGATTTTATTAAAAGTGACCAAGAAAGAAAATTAATTTGGGCTTCATCTAAGCCATGCCAAAGCAACTGGTTAGGAAGTAAGAGCTCTAATCAACGGGCACAGCCAGGCAACATCAAACAACTTGATTTGTCTAAGCGAATATCTCGATCAGCCAACAGTTTAGGCATTATGTAGATATGACTGAAATTCCGCCTGCAGTCAGGCTTTCTGCAACCAGAAATGTATTAAAGTCAAAATGAATTCATTTTTAAGAGTTTCATATCACAAACAAATAGCTGGTCAGAGTGTCGAGGAACACAAAGCAATGCCTAGAGCTGGGAAAATTCATGGCTTATTTTCTGGTATGGCATTCTCAATGCCCCTGTGAGGTTCCTGTCTTACTCAGGGGGATTTCCCAGCACACATCAGTCTGTGCTCTGCGGTTGCATCTGGGAACACTGATGCATAGGTCCTGGCAGAATCTTCAGGAAACCTCCATCAGCTGGGAGCACTATGAGAAAGAGTGGCCAAGGCTGGTTCCATCTGGCATAGGCCCGAGGCCTCTGGCCACATTATTTTCATTTTACTTAGCATTGAATGCTTCAGAATGATTGAGAATGCTTTGTCTTTATTATTTTTCAAAACAGTCTGTGTTGTAGGGCAACTTTAATGTTAGATTTCCCATTTTGAAGATCAACAAGCTGATGATCAAAAGATTTAAGGGACCTTTCCATCATCACCCCCCAAATAAGAATTAGATCCAAGATTAGGCTAATATGCCAGATACTCTAGTGGCTGCATAGTCCACAGAGGACACATGCATCTGCTCTCAGAGTCAAAGAGAGTCCATTTTCATCTCTAGAACCCTATAGGGACTCCTCTTCTCCCAGGGTCCAGTGATGCCCCTCCAACCTTACCTCAGGACTTGAACTTTGTTTGAAGTACCAGAGCATATTTTTTTAACTGAGGTTGGGCTCAACCCAACTTTTTGTTCTAGGTCACATAAAAAGACCCATGAGGGTTTAAGATGAACTGGATTTTTTTCTAATCTGCAATACTAGTGCATAAAACCAAAACATCAGGGAGCATAAACTGAATAACAAGGCTGATAAGTATGAGACATCTTCTGTGTGCAAGACCCAAAGATGAGTAAAAATAGTCCACACCAGGCCAGGTGTGGTGGCTCATGTCTGTAATCTCAGTTCTTTGGTAGGCCAAGGTGGGAGGATCGCTTGAGCCCAGGAGTTTGAGACCAGTCTAGGTAACATTGTGAGATCTCATCTCTATTTTTTTTTTTAAAAGAAAGGTCAGATGTGGTGGCTCACACCTGTAATCCCAGCACTTTGGAAGGCCGAGATGGGAAGATTGCTGGAAACCAGGAGTTCGAGACCACCCTGGACACCACAGTGAGACATCATCTCTACAAAAAATTAGCTGAGTGTGGTGGCATGCTTGTGGTCCTGGCTACTCAGAAAGCTGAGCCAGGAGGATCACCTGAGCCCAGGAGGTTAAGGCTATGGTGAGCTGTGATTGTGCCACTACACTTCAGCTTAGGCTACAGAGGGAGACTCTGACACACACACAAAAAAAGCAACCATAAAAAAGAATGAAATCATGTTCTTTACAGCAACATGGATGAAGCTGGAGATCATCATCCTAAATGAACTGACTCAGAAATGGAAACCCAAACATTACATTTTCTTACTTATATGTGGAAGCTAAAGGGTCAAAAAGATGGAAATAATAGACGCTGGGGACACCAATAAGAAATTACCTATGGGGTACAATGTTTACTGTCTGGAGGATGGGCCACCTGAGACCCAATCCCCACCAGTATACAATATGTTCATATAACAAACATGCATGTGTACCCCATGAATCTAAAATAAAAAGAAAAGAAAAGAAAAAGAAAAAGAGTTCCAGCTCCTCAGGAGTTCACAGCCTTCTAAGGCAGACAGATAGATAACACATCCATCTGCACCACAGAGCAGACTGGGTACTTGCCATACTAGAAGTAGAAACAAAATGTCAGGGTTGTCCAGAAGAGGAAGGAAACATCGATTCTGAGCAATGAAGTCTGGAAGGTTTCTCCAAGGAGATGGGAGGGAGATCTTGACCTGTCAGACTTGCAAAACTAGAAGTGGAGGTCCAGAGCAGTGTGACTTGCCCAAGATCAGAATCTAGTCCTTTATCCATCATACCAAACAGCTTCATACCATCATCCAAATGTCACCAGGGAGACATAGTATACTGCAAAATTGAGATGATTTTATTCTCAGCTCAATTTTATTTAAAAAATCCCAGGAATGAAGCAGTGGCAGAAATGACCCATTTTTCTCATTTTGCATAATTTTGTATTTAAATTCTCACTATTGGGGACTTTCATAATAATGAGATTTACCCAGAGCCCTGCATCAGTTTTAAAGAAGGACCTTCGTTCAGAGGAAAATGTTCAAAAAAGATCAACCATGCATTGAAATCCATTTATGTTTTCTATATTTCTAACTGGCGTTTCCTAAAATATTTGCTAATTACTAAATTATTTTAGCCAAGATTAAATCCCCTGGTTTTTCTACTTATTTGAGTCAGGACCAAATGAATAGATAAGGCCAAATCTATTTTCTCCATGGAAATAGATTAAGAGGTTATAAACATAGGATTAGAGTTAACTGTAGTATTAAGCAGGAGAAACTGGTCATAATGTGTGACAATGAGTTTTTTTCACATGCAAAAGTAGCATTCTTGTCAAATCACCTGGGTATTACACCAAGAGATGCTTCATAAATACTTTCTATTAATATCTCCTCTATAAAAGTAATCTTCTGAGAAACGACTGATGCAAAAAGTTAGTTAGTTCTGCTTAGACAGACATGAATGTTCTTTGTTTTCAGTTACCTGCTTGTGTGGAAGTTTCTGCTTAAAACTAGCACTTTGAGATAGCATATTGGGTACATGTGAATCTTACAGTGAGACTATATATTTAATTTTTATCAAAAAGCTTGTTAATTCACCTGATTATACATAGTATTGTATAAAGTGTTTTTTGGCTGAGACCCGTATGAACCTGTTCTAAAGTTGATGAACTCAGTCATTTGGTTAATCATTACTGAGCACATATGATGCACAAGGCATTATAGTACATGCTGTCCTTGCTTTAGAGAAACTTATAGTTTTACAGGGTAGAGACACAACAAACACTCACAGAGTGTGATGAGTACTCTATTTTATCGAATAGAACTGGCACTGGTTTAAAATGCACCATCTTTTTAATCACTTAGAAAAACCTTGCCAATTAAACTATGACACACTGTTGATTATAAGATTTATCTCAATTTCAGAGATGTTAAAATGTGGGGGGGAAGCATATATTAAAGTTAATGAAATTTAGTCCTCTCAACGAAAAATTTAGAGGACTGTGTTAGATTTCATTAAGGGATGGCCTCTGTGATGAGAGTAGTTTGAACTTGTACCTGAAGAATAAGAAGTTGGTCCTATTCCAGGCCCAGAAGGAACATTCGAGGCAGAGGGAATAGCCTTAGGACACAGAGACAGGAAAGCACTTGACATGTTTGAAGTGCCTAAATTATACTTCACAGTTTGGTAGCAATTGTCTTGGGGCTTCCTCTAAGCTGCCACTGAATTTTATTATAGAATTCAAAACCACTGAGGCATCTCCCTTTCCACTGGGCCCTCTGCAGCTGTTATCATTTTCTTGCTGTTGTTACTTGTTCTGTTTTCAGCCCATCTCCTCCCATGATTGCTGCCTGTTTGGGACCACCTCTCTTCTCTCTTGTCTCTTCTGCCACACTCTAGCCTGTGGCCTGCTCCCAGTTGGAGGAGTCATCCTCTCAATCTGGAAGTCTTGGGTGGTCTGATCTGATATTTTAGCTTAGTAGCCACAGATATTTTAGACCCCCAAGAGGTAGTCTTACCCTTTCACTTTTACTGGCTTCACAGTTTAAGGAACTTGGAGCAATTTCCCTAGGGACTGCTCTGGAAGTACTGCTGAATAATACCACAGTGTTTTTCTTCCTCCCCACAAAGTGCCAGCTGGTGTCTCAAGATGGGCATAAACCTTTTGGTGCTCTACTAGCTCAGAGTGAGAGGCATGCTTTTCTTTAGTATTCCTGCCTTTTGAGATTGGGGCCAAATCTTTTCTTCCTTTGTGGTTTAGGACTTTTACTCTTGATTTTCACTATTTGCGTTTCCCAGGAGAATTCAATGCCCTGTGTCTTGGTTAATAGTAAGACTCCTGTAGATCTTTGATTTAAGTCTCATTTCCCTATTCATCTCTTCACAAGAAGTGGGTGGGTGGGGAGGGAGAGAGAGAGAGAGAGAGAGAGAGCACTCAAGCCCTGCATCCTCGCTCACTCACCTGTCCACAGTCCACAAGTCACTTATAACATCATTGGGGCAGCTGTTACAAGCTCTTAGCACAACCTTTCTGAGATGCTGACAGTTTAGCTGATGAAGTACTGCTTATAACTCCTTGCTATGGCTTGAATTTCTCTCCCAAATTTCATGAGCTAGGAACTTAATACCCAATGAAACAGTGTTGAAAGGTGGGACCTTAAAGAGGTGATTACATTAATGTCATTTTTGAGAGAGTAGTTTCTTATAAAGCTGAAGCAGCTTCAGCCCCCTTCTTCTTGTTCTCTCTCTCTCTTTCTCGTCAGCATGCGATGTCTTCTGCTATGTTATGAGATAGCAAGAAGGCCCTCACCAGATGCAGCCCCTCTGTCTTAGTCTTCCCAGTCTTCAGAACCGTGAGCCAAATAAATTTCTGTTCATTATAAATTATGCAGTCTGTGGTATTCTGTTGTAGGAGCATGAATGGACTAAGATACTTCCTTTATTTAGGCAGAGGGGAAACACAGGTCACCTGTAAGATAATTTTTATAATACATTTGACCCAGATTCACTCAGAAGAGGATTTTAAAAAGCAATGTTCATGAACTGATAAATGGATAAGCAAAACATGGTAAGTCCATACAATAGAATGCTATTCAAAAATACAAAGAAACTAGCTAATAACAGACGAACCTCAAAAATATTATGTTAAATGAATGAAGCCAAGTGCAAAAGACTATGCATTTT